AAATAAACAAAATAACAAATAACAAATAAAAAAAAAAAAAAAAAAAAAAAAAAAAAAAAAAAAAAAAAAAAAAAAATTGACAGTTTGAAATTATAACTTTCGAACTACCCAAAATGCAAAATAAAATAAGCATTAGGGAGGTAGTTAATAGAACTTTCGAAACCACCATAAACAACACAATAAGCAAAAGTAAGTGCTTGGAAACAAACCACCATAAACAACACAATAAACAAAAGTAAGTACTTGGTTGTTTCCAAAGTCCAAATTATTATTTTTTCATGTTTTGGGCAGTTCGAAAGTCAGACTTTTGAACCGCCCAAATGCTCGGTGGTTTTTTATTTTTTTGGTGTTGAGCAGCTCGAAATTAGAATTTTTGAACCGCCCATACACTTAGATTTTTTTGTGTTTTAGGTGGACCTCGAACCAAGGCTAAAATAGGAATTAAAAACCCAAAAATTTTGAACCTCACCGTGAAATGTCACAAATAAAGGATCATTATGTAATACTGAAACTAATTTTGCGTTCCTACATAAATTTCCCTATAGCAGTGAACTCCCTTTGATTATAATAAAATAAGAGCAAAAGGTAATAGTGGGATCATAATTAACGCCAAATACCAATCGCCGCTTTTGTTCCACTTGAATTAACATCAGCAGTCCATATCGTGTGATTAGTAGAGAAAACTTCAGAAACCCTTCTTTGCAAGGGCGTCCTCTGTCTTTCATAGTTGTGTACCGGGTCCATCAAATGTAAAACATAGAGGGATCCCCCTGATATTCCTGAACCAAGAGTTGCAATTCTATTTTCTTGTGTCAAGAATTAGGAGTTATAAATTAAGATAATGAATGTGTTCTAAGTAAGTGACATATGAATTGATAAAGAAAACAAAACCAACAAGTACAAAGAGTATTTAATAGTATTGCAAGAGAAGCATTAAGTGCAAGGAATAAAAGACAAAAAACAGAGTCGTAATTTAGCATTCTGTGGATACAATAGATGCTGAGAGAGACATGAGTCGTTATGAGACGATGCCATCTTCTTTATACACGATGTACTGGATAACAAGGGTACCGATGGTGCTATCGAACCACAGATAGAAGGAGGTGCACCGTACTCGGCCACTAATTCATTAGCAGGAGGACTTATACGAGTCGAGTTACATTCCACGGCATTATCAGAATACCATTCAGAAACCCCAACACCAAAAAAACTGCAAAGAATCCAAAATCACCATATTGATAGAAATCCATTGAACAAAGAGTCATTTCAAAGCCAAAAAGCATGAGGAAGAAATGTGTTGCCAACCAATAATATAGTTCAAATAAAGAAACCATAAACACGCATTATGCACAACATAACCAATAAATAAATTGACCAGGATCATAAGATTGTACCTGCAAATTCAGCTGCTAATAAATTTCTGTCAGCATTTAGCAGTCTAATGCAATAACATAAAGATTGAACCCAAAATTCTTATCTCTTGTGTTGGAGAAAGCAGGAGACCATATTGCTTCAACAAGTTCCCATTACTCACAGTTAACATTTCATTCAAGATGAAAGAAAAAAGGCCATACAAAAGAGACATATACACAGGGGAGGGGCGAAGAGTGAGAGAGTGGAAAGGGAAGTAGAAAGAGGGGAAAAAAGGTAGAAGTTAATGAGAGGTAGATACACTGTGGATCTGGACTCAGAGATGGAGTAAGTCTTGCAGATGAATGAAACGAGCCTGCCCACTCCTTCCCCGGCAAAGTAATTCATGAAAGCTTATCTTCGCTAAAACTTCAATATTCGATTTGGATCCTCTCCATTATTTGTTGGGCTTTGAAGTGGGCTCAATCAAAAAGGGGTTGTTTATCACATAAAGTGAATATGATCTAGACATCCTCAAGGAAACATGGAAACTAGTAGTCAAACCTACTTGTTCTCTAGTCAATCCCTCTTCTCAACTTGATCACAGTTGAAGAGCACCTTTAGATGACATTGGAGTCCATCAACGTCTTGCTGGGCACCTCACTTCTATCAAGATCACCACAAGACACCATCTATATTGTTAGGTGGGTCAATTTATGTATAAACCTTAAATTCCACGAATGGTAGTTTTCACACGCATTATGTAACATCCCAAGTCATAGTTTTCACACGCATTATGTAACATCCCAAGTCAACTCCTACTCGAGGTATTCTTAGGACTAAGGATACTTGTATAGACCCAGCTGGCAACTCCAATAATGGCAAGGCTGGGCATCCTATTGATCGCCAATCCACTACCGATTATTGCACATTCATTGGTGATAATCTGGTCACTTACGAGGAAAAAGAAAACAATGAACACACACTCTAGCATAAAGGCAGAGTATGGAGCCATTGTTGTTGGGATTTGTGGCCTTAAAAGACAGTCACACTCGGTCTTTGGTATTCAGCTCTAGTATATTCCCATTTGTACGTGTACTCAAGCTTTAAAACTCTAGTTTAATTGAGAGTGTGATCCTCCACTGATGAAATAGGCCATGTGAGTAGGCTCTGGATCAGTTTTGGCATGCTTGCTGTCCTCCATGGATGAAAGAGACCAAGCGAGTATGGAGTTCTATTAGGATGAAAGAGGCCGTTAGGGTAGGGTTCTGGTTAAATGAAAGAGATCACCAAAGTATTCGCTCTTGCCTTGGCTTGGGGATGGCTAGATTGAACAAAACTCTCACGTCCTGGAGTGTGGGCTTTGTGGCCAAATGCATCACCGATATGGGTGGTGGATGCCTTATCAAAGCTGGTTGCAGCCCAATGGTTTATTGTTTTGGCTAGTAGAACTAAAAGATCTCGTACAAGGATCTTAAAGATCCAACAGGGATTGGAAAAATGATGGGACAAATCCTATTAGTGATAATGGTGAATATCCACCCTTGATCAATGATGGTTGGCCAGGGGTGGATGTCTAAGGTGGCCACTCTCGTATGATAATCTCCCATTGGAGCTAGAAAGCAGATCCCATTATTTCCTTTATACCCCTAGACACCTCAATATAAAGGGTAACACACCTTATAGGATATAGAGTTTTCTTTGAGAGCATCATTGTGGAGAGCCCTAGGAGAGGGTCACGAAGTGAGAAGCTTGAGGAAAGGGAGAGAGGTGCATGAGATTCCAAAGGGTTTAGAGTGTGAGAGAAGTTATCAAGTTAAGAAAGAAAAGTTATGCACGTGAGGGTTCAGAGAGGTAGAGAGAGTCTTGCTAGAGTTCTCATTTGAGAGATACAAGGAAGAAGGGCCTGCAACCCAAATCCGCCTAGCCTGCAACTTTTTCACCCAATACAGTGCGAAAGAAGGGAATTTCCATTTTCAGAAGGTGCGCCATCAATCTGCAGGGATTGCATAGGGTGTACAAAGTCCTAGAACGTTAATCTAAGCCGAATCATGTTAATTAATTATTGCTGATTTTTGGCTGATTTTAGACATTGTTTTAAGAATGTCTCAGCAAGGTTTTCTTGGGCATATCTCTTCGCTTTTGTTTCTTTTTTCTTGCACTCAATTGAAAGGAAGTCGGGGAGCAGGCATTTGTAAGATAGAGAGGTACACAGGACTTTAATAAGTGTACTGAAATTTTTTGCAATTTGTACCATGCACAACCCTATCATAGCCGGCCACATATGTATCAGCGTTGTGCTCTTGTTGCTCATTTTCTTGGCTTTTTGGGTTTGGTTTTCTAGCTTCTTCGTAAGCCATGGCAAGCCAAAACCTCATGGCCGAGTTGTACAAGGCTGAGAAGTTCGATGGATCAAACTCTTTTGTGGAACCATAAAATCCAGCTAAGTATTACATGAGAAAGGGATAGCACACATTTCCACTGCTTAAGCCCCAGTGAACCCTATCTAGTTCTTTTGAGACAAAAAGGCAGGTCTAATTTCAGAGGGGGGAGAGAGAACATCACCAAGTTCCACCTTATGTTGGCCTCGATCATGGATATTTATGCAACAGAGTATGAGTCACTCCAGACAGCACACAAAATCCAAGAAAATTTGGAAAAGGATATTGGCATGATTTCAAGATGCAAGGGGGGAGCAAAGATTTTAGAGCCCATGTGGCAGTTTAGAACCATGGTCCATGAAATGGAAAAGTCAGGACTCCAGGTAGAAGAGAATACCATTTTTCTAAGGAAATGACTAGTGATAGTAGTCTTCTACCTTTAAATCGTGTATAGAGTCACAAATGCTTCATTGAACCTCCATTTTTACAGAGATATGTACACTGCAGGACTATTACAAATGAGTAAAGATTGCTTCACATGCCTATAGATAAAGTGATGCAATACAAATTAATGATGATGCATTTGCTAGTTTAATTGCAAAAGAAATCATTAAGTTCTCTTGCTTTATAAACTGCATATGGTTTTTAAGAATGAATGATTCATGGTTAGACATAAGCATACTACCAATTATCCATACTGGAATAGGAGTTTTACCATTCCTGGGGGGTATGCACACCCTTTAATACAAAATTTTGTCCTAGTTTATAGTTTCATTATTCCTAATGTCGTTTACCTGATTTCTTCTATTTGATGAGTACATAATGGCAAACAATTTAGAGTTTATAGCATTGAGGTCTATCATTTATGATGGACTGATTGGGTTCACTTTACTGGTTATCCAGGTGTTTTAAGGGTATTTCCAAAGCTTAAAAACATAAAACAACTAAGTATTACCATTCATAACAGCGAGGTATCCACATTTTATATTTTTATTAGACAGACTAAGAAAAAGTATACGGAATGCAAGTATAAGAGTTGAGATGAGGAACTGGTTAAGATTTTTTTGAGAGAAAAAAAAAAAAAATTGAGAGAATAGAGCTTGGTTAAGATTGATGAGCAAGAAATACCAACAAGAGCACACTTTCGATATCTTGGGTCGATAATCAAGAAAAATGGAAGAATTGAGGAAGATGTCAAACATAGAATTAGAGTTGAGTGAGCAAAGTGGAGATGTGCAACGGGAGTTTCATGTGATCGCCACATACCGATGAAGCTGAAGGGGAAGTTCTATAGGACAGTTGTGATACCAGTTTTGCTTTATAGGGTGGAATGTTGTACGGTCAAGAAATAACATACTCATAGGATGAGTGTAGCTGATATGAGGATGTTGAGATGGATAAGTGGCAAGATAAGAAGGGATAGAATTCGAAATAAATACAATCGGGAGAAAAGTGTGGCTCCAATACGTAATAAGTTAAGAGAAATTAGACTTAGTTGGGCTGGTCATCTACAACGCAGACCCTAGTATAGCACCTGTTAAGATGTGTAAGTTGGTTTAAGTGGAAGGCTTAAAAAGGGCAACAAGTAAGAACATGGTTGGAAGATATGGCGACTTATGGTCTCACTGAGGGTTGGCCCTTGATAGAGCAAAGTGACAAACCAGGATTCGTGTAATGGATCCCAAATAGTTGGGAAAAGGCTCTAATGATGATGATGATGATGAAACTGGTGCTCCTACAGCAGTTGTACGAACATAAATTGAAAGCAATATCATGTAGGAAGTGCTTCAAGAAATTTAAGAAAGAGAAAGGTGATAATTGATGCATACCATGGCTCATAAGCGCAGCCTTGATTCTAAATATTGAAAATTGTTGCTTGCATTGAAATTCGATGATCAAAAGTTAGACAAACAAGGATAGACTAGTATTCATTTACGGATCAATGCACAGTTCCACAGACCATCAATACCCCTATGCATATAAATTTGTGTTTCGACTGATTTATGGGAATATATTACATGGAAAACATACAGAAAATGAAGCACTGGTCAATAGCACAGGAACAAATCATTTAAAATAAAACAATAGTCAAACCTTCTGCTTTATACCTGATGTCGCCATTTATATTTCCCACTGCCAAAATGCATGCTTCCTTTCTTCCATGAGGTGTTTCAACGAGAGCATGGAACTTCTCTAAAGCATTATAAGTTACATCCTTGTATTTCCAAACCTGAAATACATTGCATAACATATGCATTTTTTCACATGGGTTAATATATAAACAAGGAAGAATCTCAATTCCATTGAGTTTATTAACGTAATAATATGATATTCCACTACCAATAGTCCAATATATCATAAGAATCCCAAAAAAAAAAAACGTTAGAGCGATCTCAAAGGGTTAAACAGCCATCCTTTGTCACAAGTCATGTAAGATGACTCCGCTTCTTGTAGTTCTAATCATTTATCATAGCCGGTTAAGCAACCACAACAGAGATTACATTTAAATTGCCTAATTCTTCCCTGCCAATGCAACCAATACAACACAGTTAATAACCAATTGGCATGTCAAGGAAAATAATAGGAAAAGGAGCAATTACTCTAGAGCTCTTCACTGGATAGCAAGTTAACCTTGAACTATCTTTCGTTGCCTCTTCAAATGGGAGAACAAAAGCCAACTGTTTCAAGTTTGTATTTAAAACAATCCAACATTCTTATTCAAGTTCTTCAAGAAACAAGAATACAATTCAATGTTTACAATCACAGAAGAGCAATCAGGAATTGGATCAGTCCTCTATAACCATCTTTATGCAGAAAGATTATCAACTGAACATATTTTTCTTTTCTATGAAAGGCAGGATTCAAACTGATGCATAGAACTAGGATTATCACATATTATTTAGAACAGTCTGTGCATGAGAAGGGAGCATTGTAAGTACCAGCCAACCATTTTAATTCCGGATACAAATGTGCAGGATAGCTTCTGCCCCAGACAAGTATTTTTTCTTTTAAATGTCAGATAGATAATTTTTTTTTCCCGGTACATTTATGAAACCAGGTTATTATTCCATAAATATGCATTTTCATGGGGCTGATCTCCTATGTGCAGGGAAACTTATGAGCATTCAGAGTCTAAGGTGTCACAAGAGAAACAAAAATAAAATTGTCAATTCTACAAAAATATTTGACTGCACAATACTTGACTATTTATTTGGCTTGACTCCTATCAGTAAGGAAACTTACCCAGGCAGCCTCAGAGACTATGGTGCCATAAGAAATATCAGAATAAACTCTCAAATCTACAATAATCTGATTGCATAATACTTGAGTACACAGAGTTCCCAAAATGATTTGAGGATGCTCTAGAGAATATCTGATTTCAGGATTCACCCCAACCTAACTCATATCTTGGGCTACATTTGTGTATGTGTAGACCTAAGACAAGCTTGTAGGACCAAACCCAACCTACTAGTTTGTCTTTGGATGAAACGCAACATCTTCAAGTTTCTGACCATCAAGCATAGCAGCCCCTGTCAGAATCCTCCCCAGCACCTGATGGAAAACCTCCCTTTTTTTCAGGAAGACCCAACCCATGATGGAAAAGCCAGCCATTGCTAGAAACCATCCACTTTCCTCGTAATGCACCACCCTATCATCGTCCCTCTTTGTGGTAAAGCCTAAACCATGCTAGTTATTTCCCCACTAGAAAATCCTACTATTGAAGCCTCAAAGGATCCCACTTGATGGAAAACCCCTAAAGCTCCTACAAGTGCTTTATGATAAATAAACCGGTTTCACCAAGCGACTGCTGTCCCAAAATAAAATACTTCCTCAAATGTCCCTAGAGAACAATGATCCATATTCCCACTACTTTAGAAAGACTGTAAATAAAACACTTTCTGGATTCTGGTACGTGACCCAAAAACCAAATTGAGAGGGAAGAAGTTAAGAAATATTGATTTGTAGTGATACCTTTGATAGTTTACTTTTTGCTAGATTTGCATCATGCAACATGCATGCCATTTGCTAGTACTATGTATGTCATCATCATCATCATCAAAACCTTTTCCCAACTAATTGGGGTCGACTACACAAATTCTGGTCCACCATTATACTCTATTAAGGGTTATACCTTCAATGAGGCCATAAATCCCTATATCTTTTCTCACCACTTCCAAGCATGTCCATTTGGGCCTTACCCCTTGCCCTTTTTGAGCCTTCCACTTGAGCTTACTAGCACTTCCTAACAGGTGTTGTACCGGGTCTGCTACACATGGCCAGCCCACAAAAGTCTACTTTCTCTCATCTTATCACCTATTGGTGTCACACCAAAATTCTTCCGAAGGTGTTCATTTCAAATTTTATCTCATATTGTCTTATTATTTATCCATCTCAACATCCTCATCTCACCTACACTCATTTTATGGATATGTTGTTTCTTAACCGCCCAACATTCCGCCCCATAAAGCAAAGTTGGTCTTACAGATATCCTATAGAACTCGCCCTTCAACTTCATTGGTATGCGGCGATCACATAAAACTCCGATTGCACATCTCCACTTCGCCCCACCCAGCTTTTATTCTATGTGTGGCATCTTCCTCATTCTCACAATTTTCACGGATTATCGACTCAAGATATCGAAAGTGCACTTGTTTTGGTATTTCCTGTCCGTCAATTTGAGAATGGGTTCGAGCCTTAAGGATAATTCCAATGAGCCCTATAATGAAGTCTCTGACTCCATTCTCACCAAAGGATAGGAGCCCACTGACTTACCCTTTTTTTTCATGGCCGTCAATCTTAACTACTTCCTCGTCTCTACTTCTATTATTACTAAACTTGCATTCCATATACTTGTCTTAGTCCGGCTAATTTTAAAACCATTAGATTGTAGAGCATCCCTCGAAAATTCTAACTTATGTTAACGCCACTTCGGGTCTCATCGATCAAAAATGTCATATGCGAACAACATACACACCGGTATATCATCATATCGGTGCCTAGTTAAGTCTTATGCATGTATTGAAACCTTATTGATTAAGGCCCTACAAGGAGTGATTCCTAACCCAGATGTCCATGCCCCTTGTCTCAAATAGATCTAAATCTATTTATATTGGGACTCTCTATCTGGCAAGAGAAGATGAGAACCTTTTATTTCAATGGTTATGGTCAAAATAATTAAAACTGAAGGCTATGATCACATGATGATGACGAACAAATGCACAACACGAGAAATTTAGAATAGGTAGTATACATTTTTGGTGGACATGATTGTTATTAATTATTAGAGGTTATCAACTAATAGTATCACTTTAGTATAGGTAGTAAGACATGATTTTTATTTTTATTTTTTTTGATGAATTTTTTTTGTTTCTAACATGATTTTTATTAATTATTAGAGGTTATCAACTAATAGTATCACTCTAATTATTAAAACTCTAGAGGAGTTATTTTAAAATCTAAAAAAAAACTAAAATTTGGCAGTTGATAACCCATATTTTCTACATAAAAATATAACGCATTCGATTTCTGTTGTATAGCCTTTACTTATTGGAAATAATTTTACAAATTTACATCTCCATGGCATTTTTACAATTTTGCACAAAGTCGTAGAAAATCGAGGGAACAAATTATCAACAATGGAACATCATTGACTCCCACTACTTTCGACAAATTTTTCAAGGCTATTAAATATGATAACATAAACTATGGAATATGATGACATAAACTATGGAAGAGTCTACTGTACGTATAAAATGATTGTATCAAGAAGGCAGTTTACTCAATGTAACAAGATAGACTCATGATAGATTCTCACTACTTTCGACAAATTTTTCAAGGCTATTAAATATGATAACATAAACTATGGAATATGACGACATAAACTATGGAAGAGTCTACTGTATGTATAAAATGATTGTATCAAGAAGGCAGTTTACTCAATGTAACAAGATAGACTCATGATAACAGTCTGTTCAGGCAGAGGCCGGCAAGCATCATAAAGGAAGTCCATGAGTTCTGTTTCCCCAACATATTGATGTATTATTTATGCAAAATGGCCAAGCCGTTTTGCATTCCCACAGCCAGAAATGAAGTGAGGATAGATCCACATGAGACTTGGGCCGAAAACCACCCCCCCCCCCCCCCCTCGTTCTCCTTTTCCCCTGGCCCCAAACCCAACGCTATATATCCTTCAGTCTCCTGTGCAAGCATCAATGGTCATTTATGACTCAGTAAACTAACCTCGATGCATATGATATTCTATTCTCGGATTTCCATATTACTTTGAAAGAAACTGTATTTAGCATATAGATTATAGGGTTTCTAATGCATGAAGGCATGCAACTACCATTACGTCAGGTGCAAATAAAAGCTTTCTTAATCTCAGCAATAAAGTTCCACATTTTGAGCACTACAAAGAAAATCCACATACCACAGGTTGCGAGGCTAGTAACTTTTGATACTCGTGACGAAAATCTGTACTTCTCCTTTTGTTAATGAGGGCTTTACCAGACAACTCCCTTGTATGAAGCAGTTTAGTTGTTCCACATGTTGTCCTCCTAAACCTCTCAGTTTCTGGCTGCAAACATATAAGCAGAAAAACATCTCAATCCATAACCTTGTCAAATAATTAAGTTTTTTTATTTTCCTAGCAGACCTTATCTTGAGGTTAAGAAGTTGTTAAAAAATATTTCGGCAAGAAGTCTAATTAATTTCAGAAGTAAAGCTTCACCGAAACAAGAAGCATTCTGAAAATATTGTAAATCCATCTACACTAGTAGGTACAGATATCACTAATTAATTCACAAGGCAATCAAAGCTTCGTTCTAATCAAAAAATGGAAACATTAAACTTTACACATTGCTCAAAGAAATTCGTCTAGAAAAACGATTTTGTTTACCGCTCTATGATGTCAAAGTACCATTACAATGATGTAAGGAGTGTAATAAAATACATCAATTAATCTACAAATCATGTGCAATCATGTTTGGAGAGAAACAAATGGTGAGGCTGATTCCCTAGCAAAGGCAGCTGCAACCTTGTCTCAAGCCAACCTGAGCAACCCCTAGGGAACCTCTGCTCAAGTTCCTATCACAGATTGGAATTGATATAATGGCTCAATTCATGTAAAGCTTTTTTGATATACCCTTGGTTTTGTACAAGGCACCCGTTTGTGGGTTCCCTATTTTTTGGGTGGAACCCGTCTGTGGGTATCCTGCCCCTCCTCTCCTCAGACATTTTGTACTCACTTTCAGTTCAATACAGTCAACATATTCAAAATATATATATATATACATCAATTTAATCATGGAAAGTATCCCATCCACGAGTGGAAGGGTGCACAAGCACCCTTCCAATCATTGAGATTTCCATATCCAATGGCCATGATTTTTTTTTTTTTTTTGATAACTGTTAACAATTGTATTGATATGAAAAGATAGGATGCTATATAAACCCTTCCACCATTTTAGCTAAGCCAACACATTGTTGTCACAAGCTTTTAACTCTTTTATGGCTTTTTTGTAAAGGGATTACCTTGCCCGTTAGGGTCCTGGTAGCTCCCAATTTTTGTAAGGGACGCTAGGCCCAACGCTTGTACATTTTTATTTTTTATTTTTATTTTTTATTTTTTTTCAATGAAATAGTTAACTCTCTCTCAAAAAAAAGAAAAGTTAGATACAAGAGATGGAGTATAATCCAAGAGTACCTAACACCTAGGACTCCAGGTAAACAGAATAGGTCAACAGACTGTATACAAAATGGGGGAAATGGGGTTAGAAGATTACCCCCTTACAAGGTAAATTGTAGATGTACAAAAATCTTTCCTTTGTAGGTGATCCACTGTGAGTGCCCTGTTTGAACCTGCAATCCAGTTAAAAGTTGGCACCTTTGGAGGTGCAATGGTCAGCCAAACTTGTGCAAGGATCGAAGTACGGTTCAGGGGGAAGTGGGGGGTTGGATGAGCCTTTTGTAGAAGAAAGTCACAGTAAAACCCCCTGTAGGGGCAAGGGACCACCAGCTTGTCCCTTCCCTAGACCGGGATAAAAGTGTTGTAGAGCAGAGACGATTTTGTATTTTACTTTTACTTTTTATTTAAATAAGATTTTTATCTGAATTTTGGAGTGTAGGTGTATTTTTATAAATATAACTAAATAAAAATAACCAAAATACCTCTAAATTTATATTAGTCGATATTTTCTATTCAAAATATTTTTTTTATTAATTTTATTCAATTTTACTTATAAAAAAGAACCTAAAACCAAAATTTTAGATTAATATCATTTTTAAATAAAAAATGAGATTCATTATTGGCCCTTGAATGAGCATGGTTCAATCTGAGCCATTAAAAGGCGCCTATGCACCTTTAAGCATCCACATTCTGTGGACGCAATACCAACCCATTAATCATTTCCAGCAAAATCACCTCCAAATAAATAAGTAATCATTTTGGTTTCTCGTTCTTTCAATTTCATATCGAAATATGCAAGTCAACGAATCCTTTTAAATTTTCTTCCCAGGTGTAAACATCTATCCTGAAGTTGTGAGCCTTCCCCACTAACTTGTTTGGTCTCGCATGGTCTTCAAATACCCAGACACCAACACACCACAAACGGCAAATGTATTCCCATTTGACCAAGTGGAGGTTCCTTTTCCCATTGTTTTTTTTGAGAGCGTTAACTTTCTATTGAAGAAAGGACAGAGTACAAAATTGCAGCCCAAAATATCGGGAGCTATGTACAATGGGGCTCCCTGAAGGGTACGCCTTATACAGACTTCTAACGTCATAAAAGGAAAACCAGGTTGGGTAATTCTGTCGCATCAGTTAGGGCCTGAGGCTGCAAAAAATACTCAGTCCCCTAAGCTTGAAGCTCCTTCTTTGGCAATGGTGTTTGCGTAAGAGTTGAATTCGGGCCAAACATATCGCCATGACACTGTCATACACGAACACAAGTGAGAGATTTCTTCGGAAAAGTGTGCGAAGGACCAGGGCTATGTGGTAGTGCCAGAGGACCAGCAAATTACATTCATAGAGTCTCCTTCGATTTCCAGCGCTGATCAAAAAGTCTGAGGCCTTTGGGGAGGGCCAATGCCTCAGGCGAGTGGGAATCAAAATGGCCAACACGCTTGGAATTGAAGGCAAGGATGGTGCAATCATGATTCCTGAACAGAACGCCAATTCCAGTAGGACCAGGATTGCCTAGGGAGCAACCATCGAAGTTGATCTCAGTGAAATCTCGATCAGGTGGCCTCCATAGAGAGGCGCACGATATGCGAGGTTTGGAAAGGTGACGGAGGGGAAGCCAGTCCAAATGGAAGGCAGAGGGATGGATGCCTTCGAATATTTTGTGGATGGAGGCCCTTAATTTTTTATTAACCAAATTAATCATGAATCAGCTCCCTATGGTTATATGTAAGGTGTTTTGAGTTCACATGAGGATTGCGCATTGAATCATCGAAACAAAGCTTATTAAAACTGAAGGGGGGGAGGAAACATTAGAAGTATTAGGGAACCACTGGGTTGGGAAGCAAATCAATTACCAAACAAGTACCATGGTCACTGCTGTGCATTGGACACACGAAGAACACATTATGGGACCAAGTAATTGACGGTGGAGCAAACCTTGGCATCTTGGCAGTGTAATTACATATCTTTGGGGGAAAAAATAACACTTATCAAGGGGGCAAACATCCCAAGTTAGTACCCAAAATGCCAATGAACGTGGTAAACAAAATAAAGTGGCTCCAAAGGGATTCCTTTAAAGAGGATCTTCCAATGCCAAAGCTTTAAAATGCAGCCACATCGTCGCATATGCAGCCGCATCAGGAACTATGCGGCACCCAGCACATTGTACTTCCCGCATATGCGGTTTGGATAGATGCACCTGCATCAGAGCCGCATCCCTCCGCATCAGAGCTGCATCCCTCCGCATCAGGCCGCATAATCTGTCTGCCATTTTTTTCAAAACTGTACCCCTCGGGCAAGGGCAATAAGGTCATTTTGGCCTTTGAAAATGGGGGGAAAGGGTTTTGGGGGGGTATTAAACCACCCAAACAACATTTTTCAGCCACATCCATGGCTTTTATTGGATCGATTGAATCAAAAAAAAAAATTGGGCGGAAATTTTATTTGTTGAAGTTCTTTTATTTGTAATACAAGATACTACAAACTAAAAGTCCATAAAGATTAAAAGTTACAAATCGAAGAACTTTTCCCAATACTTTTCAAATAAAATTTGTGATTTTAAATAGTTTCATGGACTAATATAGTGAAGTTACAAATTAATGAGTTTATAAAGTTTATTGATCTTCATAAATGCTTTGATATCGTAGAGTTACAACATTTTTATAAATGTATAAAGTTTATAAAAAGTATACAAATCAAGTCGAAGAACTTCATGGACTTTTTTTAAGATTAAAGAGTTTATAAATTTGTATCATTAAAGTTTTTGGATGCAGATTTGTGCTTATGGTTGTTGATTGTTGAATGTTTTATGAAGCTAGTTTCAAGTTTTTAGTTTCCACTTGGGATAATGGGATACAGAATCTCCAACAGCTAATACTTTTGGAGTTAATGAATAATCTAAATACCTACTATCACATATATCATCTCCATATTTTTTTCTATGCAGTAACTTATTTTTTTAGATTTTTCAGAATGTTTTTATATTTATTGCCCGCATCGCCGCGATGCACCCGCATTCAGACCGCATCGCCATATCGCCCCCCGCCCCCCTCCCCCCAAACGCTTTTGGCCGCATCCCGCATTTAAAAACACTGTCCAATACACACAAATTCCACTTCGTCAAATGGAAAAAGTAGTAAACCAAAGAGATGGAGTGGCATTACCAGAAAATTGCAAGAAACCAACCAAGCCATCCTCGGAAAGTGGTAGTGATTTGGAGAAGATTAGAATCACCTTTGGAAGGAAGACATTAAAAGCAAATACAAGATAGACACTTGGATTCGAGAGGGGTCACATCCAAACACCAAAACATTTCAGGAGCTTGGAGGGATCCCGAGTCGATAAGAAATGCATTTTGGAGAAACATAAGATTACGAAATGCATTTTGGAGAGAAGATTTTTGACAAGAAAGTCTATTGCAGTCTTTCCAACCCTTGCTCCCATGCACCAAACTCAGAGGCAACTATTGTTGACTTTTTCAAGCAAGTTGGAGGCAAGATGACCTGATGCCCATCGTTTAGTCATAACTTCATAGATGAAATTTTTAGCCTTTATAGAGTTTGTGAAACTACCATCCACCACTTTCATCCCCTCAACTGGGGAAGGTCACATGACCAGAAGCCCAACCTTTGAGGGTATTTCACTGCTGCATCCTTTAAAGGCATCCTTATTGATCCCACAACTAGCCCTAATCAGTATATGTGGAAGGTTTGAGCAGTCCTACTCCTTCGAAGACACAAACCAATGAACGATTGGCCTGTATCGATAAAGTATTCACATAATTTGGGGTTTTTCAGTAAGTGAGGACTCTGTAAACTCCATAACAAGGAGGAATTGGAAACGCACCCCGCATGACATGCATACGTTTTTGCCAGTAATGCTGAACTGAGGTCTCT